CCTTCCGGTATGTTGTTCAAGTACCGAGGTATACTCCCATCTCAAAACATTTGACAGAACCGGTATCACGAGTTAATAAGGGTTGGTAGACAATACCGTAATCTTACCGAACTGGCTACTTTTGGATTTGGACACAAAGGTAAGGCTCCGACGCCGGGGGAGATGGGTTTTTTTTGCCCTACCTGCCCACAACCAGGAGTCAACCTTCCTGATGACTGGAACAAAAACCCCAATGATCCTACTAACTGGAAGTATACCAGAGGATTTGTAGCCGATGGCAATTTCACAGCAGCCCACCAAAAACAGGCACAGCCCAAAGACGATGTTTGGCTTAAAAATGGGGATAGTTTCATGACGCAAAGAGGACCTTATTTGAGCCACCTTCGGGACGCGATTGAAGATAATGATGTAAGTTTTTATCCTTCAAGCAACTCGGCCGGTGTCTGAATCTTTCAGCTGAGGACATGTCATGAGCACAATGCTATCAACAACAAGAATGTATTTCACCGAGGTTTTGACGCTACTGGAATTGGAGCCATTGCTTGCCTTCGACATGGCACCTTTTGTCCGGGTTCGGTGGTAGATTTTCAAAAGGGAGAAAGGTATGGAAGTTATCCTCAGGATGAATCGTTGTTTTACCAAACAGGCAAATGAACATGGACTATGCCTTGTGCCAGGCTCTGAAGAATACCATGACCAGTGAAGAAAAAAGGGTTATTTTTGTCTATGACATCAACTGCCAGTATATGGTGAATTTGATGGCTTGGATAAAATGTGGTGCGAAACACCTCTGGATCAGACCAGACTTGTTATTGGTAGCCGGGATCGGCTTATTCCATGTCCATGGCCATCAAGAAATATGCTTTCCATGATTTGCCCCAACATTCATCCCTGGGGCCGGTCAAACAGATGGAGAGATATTGGAGACTTTGTGGGCTGTTCTCAACGAGGTTGGTCGCACCACCCAGACAATGACTTTGGCCCATAGATCGGAGGTGTTGGATGCTCACATGCTGGATAATAACTGGAAAAAAATGATCAATATGGGTATCTATTTTCAACTGCTTTTACATTGCTTCTAAGCTAATAAACGTCAAGTGAGTAGCCTTTGCAAGAAGTGGAAGCGAGCAAAACTCAGGCTCTCCGAGAGCTTCCAG